TGTTAAAGAAAGAAAGGATTGTACAAGCCAGGAGGTCAGAGTCATGACAGGGGAATCCACAGAGACAGCTGACCTGAGCTCTTTGGAGCTCACTGACTCTGGACCAACAGCTAAGGTGCCTGCATGTGACAGACCTAGGTCCTTTGTACGTGTGACAGTTGTGTAGTTTGGTATGTTTGTGGGTCTCCCAGCAGTGGGATCAGGACCTGTCCCTGGCACTTGAGCTGGCTTTTAGGAACCCATTCCCCATGCTGGTTTGCCTCATCCAACCTTGATGCAGAAGGATAAGCTTGGTCCTACCTCAACTTGATAAGCCATCCTTTACTGACTCCCATGGAAGGCCTGCCCCAGTGGGTGGGGAGGTGGTAGAAGGGAGGTGGGGTGAGGGAATAGGAGGAGATGAGGAAGAGGAACTGTGGTTGGTATAAATAAACAAAAAAATAAATTAAATGTCTTGAGGAATGCAGACCTTTTCAGTTCACACAAATACATAGATTTGTGGTGGCATCACTTAACTACCTGTCAAGCTCTAGACTCTTTAAACCCCATCAATCAATCTTCAGGATCTTACCAGAGAGGGCTTCAGAAACCAGGTGAGGCTATTTACTCTGTGGAATCATTTTGAGATCCTCTAGTCTGTCCTTTCACATTACGCTGTGATATTTCAGAAACGTAATGAGGAGACCTCACCATGGTCTGAAAGTTGAATCAGTCCAATTCATCCAAGTGCCCACAAGTCCTAACTTTCAGACAAACCTGATACCACTTCTAACTAAAATGTGCTTGCTGCAGTCCTGGCTAGCACTGGGAGCAGATGAGACCAGAACAATGACATTTGGGTTATTTAAACTATACTGTGCAGGCCACAGATGTCTGGAAAATTGAGAACTTAATGTAAGTTAAAAACACTGGAACTTCTTTATATTTAAAGTATTTGGAATGAACATTCACAATTAGTAGTATCTACTTTTTATATTTTATTACAGTGGCTCTCAATCTTCCTAAAGTTGCCCCCTTTAATATAGTCCCTTGTGCTATGGTGACCTCAACCATAAAATTCTTTCATTGCTACTTTATAACTGTATTTTTGGTACTATTATGAATTGTAATAAAAATATCTGATAATCAGCATTTGTGATATGTGACCCCCAAAGGGTCACATGACCCACAGGTTGAGAAACTCTGTTTTAGTATAAATTTTACCAAGAATGGGTTACTATAAATTGTACACATGGAAAAATTAGAGACTTTTTTATTGTGTAAATATCCATTCCAAACTCCCTTATGCTCTTACTGTTCTCCATCTGACATTTATCTGAAAATATACTATAGACAATACACCAGTCATGAATGAAAGAAATACAGTAACATTTTATATTGAATTTTAAATTATCCCCTGAGAAAATATCTTTATCTAGGTCCACTGAGATAAACAAGAGAAAACGCGAAAACTCTGTGTTCTACTAAACAAGACTCCTGTGACTCTAGGGAATTTGATTTCAGTCACACATGCCATGAGCACACCTTTACAGTGTTCCTAGCTGTACACATGCCAGGAGCACACCTTTATAGTGTTCCTAGCTCTACAGAAAGACGCCAGAACATGCCAACTTGTTAAAGACAATTTTTTGCCATGTCGTGATATCTGAAGTGATTGTTTAAGATTTGTCTTCTCCTTTTGCATTAAAGCTTTTAAAATTTTACTTACTCAAGTTTGCAAACTCAGTAAAACTAACTCTCTTGATTAGGGTTTCTATTGCTGAGAAGAGACACCATGATCTTGGTAGTTCTGATCCAATGACATACCACTCTTAGAAACTTGACTTCATTGCTCAAGGCTGGTCACCCTGCCTATGGGTATGCATGGCCATGGTCCCTTTAGTGTCAGAGGCTGACAAAATGAATGGGGATAAGAATTAACAGTCCAAATGTCACACATAGCATTAACATTAGTGGATTAAGGGGAAGCACTGACTAACTAATGCCCAGATGGTCAGATATCAGAGAACAAATGCTATGTGAGAAAAATCACACAATCATCTAAAGTAGAGTGGACACAAACCCTAGAGACGGTCCTATATGTTGAACAAGGTAAGTCAGATTATGGCTGTGTTAAAGTTATGCATAAGGTATTTTTCTGATGACCAGAATTAATGGAACAGTCCATCAAGGACTCTGACATGAGTATTTTACCCACGATAGTAGTTTTGCAAAGGAGAATGCCTTTTGGGTACTTTATGATTAACCGAGTTTCATCACTGAGTTGAAATCTCTGCCAAAGTGAAACTCAGTTAAAAAAAAAAAAAAAAAAAAAGAACAGCAGGGACTGAGGTCAATATACACATGAACTAATAGCCTTCATCATTATCCACATACATGAAGCTTTATATAAAGCAAGGGGCCTAACTGACTCAGGAGGAAAAGTCTTAAAATAGGGAAAAGAAATCCTTGAAACCTTAGATGCTGTTTGGATTCCTAAAAGAGCGGTAGTCATGCATTGTTGGAGAAATCAAGGGATGTTACATTTACCTGTGTGATTACTAGCAATTCTAGTTTGACATAAATAAAATATAGGTTGGAGAATGCTGGCCATAAAGAAGTTTTAAAGTTTCCACAAAGATGTGCATTACTGAAAAACAATGAAGGCAGAGATGGGTTCAGAAAAATGTCCAGACGTAATGAACAGTTTCCTTTTGATGAAAAATCGAAGGTTGGGAGAGTCCAAGAAGGAAACCTGAAGCTAGGCTTTTAGGACAATCCCCACTGTCCTAAACTTGTCTAGGCTGGCCTGGACCTCCTCTTCAGGCCTCCTGATGAGACCTCTGTAAGCCCAAAGATACAAATATACTGACAATCAAAGACTCCTAACTCCAAAGACAGATTCCCAAAGTCAGAAAATCACTAGATATAAAAAACAAAAAAAAGACAATTCTAATGCTTTTTTTAACACTTTATTGAAATTTTCTTTGGCCCCATTACTGAATCTAATAAAAATGTATATGAAGTCTGAGCTTGATGTATTCTGCTCAAATTACTTAAATCCCTGAAAACATGACTTCTGAAATTTGGTGAAGTGAACCTAGGACAAGGACAATGGAGGCAAATATTCCATGTTTTGTCCTTGCATATGGATCAGGAATAAGAGTCTTCCCACGAGGAACAGAGAGCACAAATACCAGAGAGTAATGCTGAGAACCCATCAGTGAGGAACCAGAGGGAAAGAGCTTCACGACCAGTGAGTGGGAATGAGGAGAATGTGCCTAGGTTCTTAGGAACCCTAGCAGCTCTCGAGCTTCTACATTAGTCCAGGGCCTTTGTGTGACCAGCATCAAAGCCTCTTTCAGGGTTATTTGTCATCAGGGTCACCTTTCAGCTCTTTTCCTTCTAGATGCCTTTCTGTAACTTGAAAGGCAAGTTTTCCTTGCCTCTGTATGAGAAAATAGCCAAAACAGCCTGAGCACTGTGGAGCAGCATTTCTCAGCTAGCTGGAGGGAATGTTTGTGCCGTTTATATGTGGTTTTCAGCAGAACGATAACAAATGTGTTAAACCTTTTAATGTCTTCAAGACTATCTTTAGAGAAATTCCTATGCATGCAATGACTGTCCTTCATATATTCCAGCTAATTCTTAAACTACTACATACAATTAGAAAACATTATCTAAAGGTATCCCACATTGAACAAAAGCTAGAGTGTTCTTTTAAAGAACTTTAACAAACACTATTCATACTCTCCTGGGAAACTGAGGGGTATAAAAATATGGTTTGTTCAGTTGATGAGTGGCTGGTAGCTGTCCACCCTCTGTAGAAGAGTATCCGAGTATCCAGGTGAATAGTACCTGAAAAAATAAATTTGTTATTAGATAGGGAAATTTTTCAAAGGTGGACTCAAGAAAGTCTACATAAGAACTTGCTGAAATAATATAAGTAAAACCTCATGTATGATCATTACATGTTTTATGCATACGGTTAGAGACAACAAAGAATTTCACAACGCTGTACTTGAGAGAGAATAAAACACTTAAGAAATATATATATATATTAACAACTTAAATGCTTTCTAAGCAAAACCTTCAATCCATGGACAAAATTTCACCTCAGACATTGTTTTATCAATTGAGTAATTTTACTTTTTTTCGATTTTATGTGTATGTGTGTTTTACCTGTATGTATGTATACATATGTATGTGTGTTTTAGCTGTATGCATGTATGCACACCACTTCCATGTCTCATGCCCTTGGAGGCCTGAAGAGGGGACCAGATTTTATAGCATTGGCCTGGAAAATGGCTGTAAGTCACCATGTGGGTGTTTAGAATTGAACCCAGAGCCTCTGGAAGAGCAGCCAGTGCTCTCAACTGCTCAGTCAGCTCTCCAACTCCATAATGTTACTTTAAAAGGACAATAGCTAATAGATGTTTTATGTTAGACTATATAATTTATCATTACTAATCAAATTCTGCATTCATGCCTTATAAATTATTTCTTAATGTATATTTTAATTATATCTGGCCACAATTCACATTAAATAACTATTTCACAAATTACTTTTAAAATTACTAAAATATAAACTATGTATACATAGATGTTCATACATATACCCATATACAGATACACACACACACATACACACACATATATATATATACACATAGTGATATGAATTATATTTTAAAATTGAACATTTCATAAAAGATTAGCATTTTATCTTGGTTTGGACTTGATTTGGTCACTTTCAGCTAATTTTACCTATGCCTACTTAAAAATTTGTGAATAATATTATACTAATTTCCTCCATAATTTGTTAAATTACCATGTGAAAAATCAACAGCTGTATTATTTTTTCAATAACATCCTTACACACAGGGTTAAACATAATACACACATCTAAAAAATGTTTCTCACAAGGCCTTCTACTTTGGAAAACGGCTTTCAGAAGTGGGTTCCTTCATGCAGTCTTGCACTTAAGGGTTCCCAATTATTTCTCTAGTAGTCTGAGTTAGTACAAATTTTAAAGCTTGCCTCAATCTCCTATGCCCTTTATAAATGCTTTTGATGTAAACAGATACTTTATTATATAACTACAAGAGACAAATTTTCTATGATCTTTTTAAATTATGTTGTTTAGTACGGTACCCACTGTCCACACAAAGCTAAGGAACACTTCAAACAACTAGTCTACATGAGAAACTGAATACTTTGTATCTAAGTTTTGAAATTGATAATGCAATGATCAGAAAACATTTATATGTTGTAGCTTTGGAGTCTGTCCTGGAGCTAGCTCTGTAGACCAGACTGGCCTTGAACTCACAGAGAACTGCCTGCCTCTGCCTCCCGATTGCTGGGATTAAAGGCGTGTGCCACCACCACACAGTAATAACTTTTTAATTTGGAAAACAAATTCAAACAGTATGTTCTGGTCATAGTTTCCACTCCAACTCATTCAAGAGCCTTCTCGCATTTCTACCTACACAATTCTATGCCCCTTTATCTTGCTTTAAAAAAAATACAGCTCCTTTGGATGTCAATGTGGTGATTTCTCAGAAAATTAGGAAACAACCTTCCTCAAGACCCAGTAATACCACTTTTGGGTATATATCCAAAGGATGCTCAATTGTGCCACAAGGACATGTGTTCAACTATGTTCATAGCAGTATTCTTTGTCATAGCCAGAACCTAGAAACAACCTAAATGCCCCTTGAATGAAGAATGGATAAGGAAAATGTGATACATTTACACAATGGAGTACTGCACAGCAGAAAAAATAATGACATCTTGAATTTTGAAGGCAAATGGATGGAGCTAGAAAACATCTTTTTGAGTGAGGTAACCCAGACACAGAAAGACAATTATCACATGTACTTACTCATAAGTGGTTTTTAAACATAAAGCAAAGATAATCAGCCTAAAAAAATCACAATCCCAGAGAACCTAGACAACAATGAGAACCCTAAGAGAGACATACATAGATCTAATCTACATGGGAAATAGAAAAAGACAAGATCTCCTGAGTAAATTGGAAGCATGGGGACCTTGATCAAGGGTTGAAGGGGAGGGGAGAGGCAGGAATGGGAGCAGAGAAAAATGTAGAGCTCAATAAAAATCAATAAAATTTAAAAACAAAAAGAAAGAAAACTATGCCCACATTCCCAAAAAGTGGATTATGGATGTTTGTCTTTGTTTAGTGTGTTGGTTACAAGATGTTATGAACAATGGTCAGGAAAAAAGCTAAACAAAGGAGATTAGATTAAGGGTCTTGTTTTGAAAAGAAAAAAGGGGAGTTTCTGCAGGATAATGTTTTTGTACATTGTAAACATTTGCCAATTGTATTGGTTTAATAAAACATTGATTGGCCAGTAGCCAGACAAAAAAAAGTATAGTTGGGGCTATAATCAGACTAGGAAAATTCTGGGAAGAGGAAAGAAAGACAGTCACTAGCCACACACAGGAAGAAAGATGAGAATGCCTTACTGAGAAAAGGTACCAACCTATCTGACTAAACATAAATAAGAATTACGGGTTAATTTTAGTTGTAAGAGCTGGTTTATAATAAGCCTGAGCTAATAGCCCAAACAGATTATAACTAAAAAAAGTTCGCTGTATGTTTCATCCTCAGAGCTCAGGAAAGTAGAGAGGATGAATAGAACTTTAAAGGGGATTTTAACTAAATATACTCCTGAAACTGGTGGGAACTGGGTCCACCTCTTGCCTTATGCCCTCCTGATTTCTAATTATTATGTAGATACTTAAGATCTGAACATAAACAGAAATACTAGCATTTTCTTTACAATATACTTACAGAAATAAAAAACATTGAATTCCGATACATATCTTTCACCATTTATATATCAATGGACAAAACTGAGCATTTTCTCGCTGACAAATGTGTCTAACTGATTTGTTAATGACTGACTATGCACCAAAGAGACACTGTATGGACATTTTCAATAGCAATCACCTCTTGTTAGTTTTGTACCACCTTCATTGTGGTTAATAATAATTCTAAACTCTTTACGATATTATGAACTTTAATACCCTGCCCTCTTAACCCTTTTAGTCTCATTTACATTTGTAGATAATGGATGCATTTACTGTGTGATGTGTAATGTTAGTAATTAAGATGAGAAAAAAGAGCCCACATTTGCTTTTGTTAGGGCTGTAGAAGAAGGTAGGAGTACCTGGTAAATTACTACCATTGAAGCCACTGTAGCTTATGAACTTTGTTACTCAATAAATCCTGACATTGTGGGTTATCCAGTCCCAAGAGGTCAGTCCTAAAAATTTACAAGCACTAAATGTATTCAGTGTGTGTGTGTGTGTGTGTGTGTGTGTGTGTAATTAAAGATGAGGTCACGAATTTGAGAAACAGTGGGAGAAGCAGAGAAGGAGTTGGAGGGGGTAGAAATGATATAAAAACAGTACTCATATATAAAATTCTCAAAAAGGTAAAGTTTAGTTTGTTGGGGGAAAACGGTTTTTGAAAAAAAATAGTTTGTTGAAAAAATAATAAAATTATAATAGTGTTTTGACAAAGCACTAAATTAAATTCTAATGTCACAGTTTTTTATTTCTCCCGCTACTCAGTAAATAATAAAACTAAGAGGGGTAAAACACAAATAGACATACAGGAGCGTGCCTTACCATTGGTTGATTCTTATAGGTCATTCCATTTGAGCTACCTTTAGCATACATTCATTTTTTTATTTTTCCTTAATTTTGATTTTATTTTTCAGAAAATTGAACTGAAAGTTATTTTAAATTTCCATAACATAGTATTATTTCTAATGCAACATACATTCCATGTATAAAGGCTAAATTAGTAATAATTTCACAGTTCCTTCATTTAGAGGTTTCACGTATATTTTATGCATTCATACATACAGAGAAGGCACTGGCTCAGAGCAGACACACGGTTCTCTGGCTCCTACCACCTTCCTGCCCCACTTCTGGGATGCTCCCTGAGTCTCACATGAAGGGGTTGCATTGCGGGTCTTCCAGTATTTGCTCTGTTTTAGACACAGCAGCTATACATGTTATAATATTAGCCTCTCTGGTAGCTTTCAAGTGATTTATTGAAACTTTTTTAGTCAAGGAGTTATTGTAAGCATCATAAATGTATATAGACTTGGAGATGGAGCGATGGCTTAGCTGGCAAGTCATCTTGGTGCTTTTTCAGAGGACTCAGGCTCATTTTCCACACTGGGGCCCACAGTTCCAGTTCTAAGGCATCTCACCCCCTCTTCTGGCCTCTGTGGGCAGGCACATGGGTGGTACACATCCACACATGCAGCAAAACACTCATACACACAAAATCACAACATAAACTTGTAACTTTAGTGCTCATTGTATGAAAAACTATGAATAAAGTTCTGTGCTTTTAAAATTAAGGTTACTACTTGTTTAAAAATAAAAATGATAATTACTAAATAGTAAGACACAGATAACAGCTATAATTTACATAGAACATGTAAGTTTTTAATCTGGAACTTGTATTTTCTAATAATGATCTAGAAAACACACACATGTTGTCAATGCTCAGTTAAGATACTCTGGTTTCCTTTGTATTTTTTTTTATTTAAGGGGCAGTTAATGTATAATTCTCTTTTGGTTTATAAAATCTGAAGCTTAGAATCATTGCTCTGTAAATCACCTTTATTTTTAAAATATTAATCTGAGCTGCAGGTGGAGCTCAAAAGTGATCTTGTCTGACAAACATGAGGCCTTGGGTTAAGTTCCTGAACTGCAAAAAAGTATACATGCTATCAGTCTTGCGACAGCCTACTGTTCAAGAGCATGGTGACTCACAGCTGTAACCTCAACACTTGGGAGGCTGAAACCGAAGGGATTCAAGTCAACCCTGGCCTATTTAGTGAGACCCTATCACAAACAATAAAAAATAGCTTTTATTCTGAGTTATTGTAGGTTATAAACATTATTTATGAAAATTTTCATATTTAGTTAGTGACATTTGTTACTCAATACGCCTTTCTGATTATTATACTTCCATTAGCATAGATATAAACTTAAGGAATACAATGTGCAGGAAACTGTGAAAGTCATAATCTATCAACCTGTATAGCAGACATTTACAATTTCAAAGCAATTTGAACTCTGCATTTGGGTATTTAGTAAAATATATATTAAAATAGTATCCACATGTCATAAACAACATTGCAGATTGATTGCGTGTGTCAATAAGAACATAATCTAATTATTTCATTTGCATGAGGTAAAAGAGCCTTGTGTAGAATTTGAAAGTCCACATATTTAGACACTTGAATACTGAAAACATTGCAATACTGAACTTCCCAGTCCATCTCCTTACCGTACTATTTCCTCTGGGTAGCAGTTGTTAATGCTGTTGATGTATTCCTGCAGGAGAGAGCCAGGTTCTGCTTTTATCTCTTGGACCTTTTTAAGTCCTCCGCTAGTTACAAAGAGCCGCCGAGCTTTGCTGTCATGAGGCAGCACCTTAAAGGGAAAGTGCACAGACAATCATAACTTCCTTAAAGGGAAAGTGCACAGACAATTATAACTTCCTTAAAGGGAAAGTGCACAGACAATCATAACTTCCTTAA